TTATTGAAATGGTCACTTCATTAAATATACTATACTATATGTACTGTACGTACTGCACGTACTGTACGTACTGTACGCGAAAAAAATTGGGCTATCATATAAACGGCACATCACTAATAACAAGCACTTAGAAGATGAAGATGATAGAACTTTAATTGAGAACGGGATTTATAATGAATCAACTCTTCATTTGGTAACCAACTTGAGAGGTGGTGGAAAAATTTTCGTTGAAGAACAGACTGGCTTAAACTATATTGTTAAAGTTAAGCATGATGAAACTATTAATTTGATTAAGCAAAAACTATATGATCAGGGATGTGATCACCCTCTCGATAAACAAATACTTTTTTTTAAAGGCAAGCAATTAGAAGATAGTAGAACTTTATCTGAGTACAAAATTTATAATGAATCAACTCTTCATCTGGTAAGCAGCTTGAGAGGTGGAGGGAAAATTTTCGTTGAAGAACAGACTGGCTTAAACTATATTGTTAAAGTTAAGCATGATGAAACTATTAATTTGATTAAGCAAAAACTATATAATCAGGGATGCAATCATCCTCCTGATCAACAAAGGCTTTTTCTTAACTGGGAATTAGAAGATGGTAGAACTTTATCTGAGTACAATATTTATAATGAATCAACTCTTTATCTGAAAACCAGTCAAGAAAAGATAATTTTTGTTAAAATGCTGACCGGCTTAATCATTCATATTAAATTTGAGTTTTCTGACACTATTAATCAAATTAAGCAAAAAATACAAGATAAGAAAGGTATTCCATCTTATCAACAAAATTTAATTTTTGCTGGCCGACCATTAGAAGATGGTAGAACTTTATCTGATTACAATATTTATAATGAAACAACTCTTCATCTGGTAACCTGGTGTGAGGTACGAAACCCGTGATCGGTACGAGCTGCGCCAAGATCACAATGTTCACAGTTATGACGATCTAATGCCTAAAATAGAGTTGCCGGCGGTATAATGGTAAACTTTGAACGAATGAAGTGGGTCTTTTATAGTTGTTAGAGGACTAATTGAATGATATGATGCTATAGAACGAAT